GAAAAAAAAAAAAAAAAAAACACGAAGCCAAAAGATTATGGAATTTTTTCACGTAATAAAAAAAAATTAAAAATAAACTAACCAAATCCATATTAGACAGGGCCTGTTTTTACTTTTGGCCCAAATGAACCTGGACCAGGCTGTAATGGCCCATTTTACAGCTCCATTGCAATTTGCAGCACACGTGTACGTACAACTCATAGTCCAATTGACGGACACACCACGCAGCTTTTATGTAGTTCAACGACAACACACATTCGCACAATATCCAGAACATGGCCACGCGTGTCCTCATGCTTTTTTCTTTTTTTTTTCCCTTTTCCTATTTTATTTGTTAATAGTAATTACTACTATCAAATATCAAAAGTATGTAAAATTAGATTAAAAAAAAAACCTTAATTCTGATTTCATTTAATGTGTTGGCAAAGTAATTTGGTTATTTCTTATGTTAGGCAGGCATTAATTTAATCAAACGCATGCCAAACCAGTTGAACTTAATTTGTTTTATACAATCAAATGATGTGTTAAATTGTAGGAAGGTCCATCTGTTTAGTAGGTTGGTTAATTGCTTAATTTCAAGCCTAATTGAGCTAATTGGGTGGCATTGTGAAATTAGTGTATTTAATAGCTAATATATTTGATCAAAATTGTTCAATTAAATTCCAGTGTTTCTTTTATTAGTGAAGTCTCTAGAAAAAACTATACCAAACGACGCAATGCACTTTGGGTCGCTACGGAACCAGCCTCCTTGTATAATTGCAAATGTAAGGTCTGCGTACAACTGACCCCCAGACCCCAACTTGTTGGGAATATACTGGGTATGTTGTTGTTGTTGTTGTAGTATCAATGACATGTAGCCAATAGTAATATTCTATTTGTTTGTGATATGAAAATATTTGAAACATGGTTGAATTAATTAGCTGGTGGATACATGATTGAATTAATATATTCAACTAATTAGTTGAAATAAACTAAAAAATTATGCAAAATACTTGATAAATTATTTTCAAAATAGATTTGGTATGATTTACTTGTTATATATAGAAGATTGACTCCACTATGAAGCTAATTGTTGGCTTCATAGAAAAATTGTCCAATCATTGTTCATTATGGAGTTTTTATCAAAGTTAGTGTCTTGAATTCGAAAAATTATATCAAATGCTACGTACAACAGCACAAGCAATAATAATAATAATAATAATAATAATAATAATAATAATAATAATAATAATAATAATAATAATAATAATAATAATAATAATAAGATAAAATAAGCAGCGTGATGATTTTGGAAGTTGGTCTCTCCATAAAAAATTTAAAATATAAATTATTGCATAAAAGTGCTTGAAAATTAGACGAGTCATCGGTCATCCAGATATAACATAAATATGTATTTATATTATGAGGTTTCATATTATAGTTGTATTATTCTAACAGAGTATGACATTTTAGTTCGAAAGTATAATAACATAAAAAAAAGTATGACCAACTAATCACTATGTCTTTAGTAGTCTCATTTAACATCAATTGTGTTGAATTAGAGATTACTTTAAAATAAACCAACAGCTAGACAGTCACACTTTTTCAATATATATGCTAACTTTTAACATAAATATAAAATCTTTAAAAATAATATAAACAAAAGTGTGAAATTTCATAATATAAATATATATTTATCAGTCGTATTTTCTAACGAGTCATTTCATACAAGAATTCGTATTATACACACAAGATTGATCAATTGTCATACAATATGAGTATTTGTATATGATGTGAGATACTATAGAGGGTCAACCGAACCAATGAAACTAGCAACCAGACAGGATAAACAGGCGAAATGAGCTGGAGTCAAAGCTCGACTTGAGTGCAATTACCGGGTCGACAACCTTGAATCGACCTCATAAACAATAGAAGAGTTGGAGAAGAAGATGTTCAGTCTAATGAGTATTCTACAAGATGACGTGGACCTAGTCTTACGGCAATACAAGAAGACATCTAATTCAGGAACAACGTCATGCGAGGATTGGACCACGTGTCGAGATGGGATTGGGTGGTTTGCGCACCTGACAAGTCTGACAGTTTGAGACAATGTAAGTCGTACGGATGGGCAACTTGGGCAGTAGGTTCAACTCTTCGGGCAGACTTGAGGAGCAAGACACCACACCCCTATACAAAGGGTGTAGTAGGTTAGTTTTCATTTTACTTTATATACACACACTTTTTACATACTCAGCAATTGTTTATCGTCTCTAACCTTTCACCGACTTAGGCATCGGAGGCTATTCAGTGAAAAAACCCCTTCCGATGTTGAGTTCTCATCGGTTTGAAGGCCATTCGAGAAAGAAGAAAGCAGATCTAGTCGTATTAGTTCGAGTGACATCGAATGAAACCCATTTCACTATTAACGTGGATCTTTGAACTCTTACAACTCCATAAATTCATCTCCAAATTCCAAATTCAACTAGTTTTTTTCACATATTTGTCGAAATTCGCTTTTTCTTCCCCTTATTTTGTATTTTCAATTTCTTTTCTTTTTAATTTGGGAGCCCTTTTTTCTCCTCCCCAAATCTTCTCACTTGTGTGCCGTCTTTCTTCAATCTGCCTTCTTCAGCGATTGCTTCGCTTTGCCGGTGGTCGGCTCCTGGCTGCTCGGCCTTCATTCTGATGTCGCCACTCTCTCGTCTTCGTGCTCTGGTGGTGGCGGTTCTGCAGCAGTCTGCTTCGCCTTCTTCTATAGGTTTCAGTTCCAGCACGGGTTTCCAAATGTTGGTCTCCTTATTGCTGCGGTGGAGTTGGACGAGGTGTGATGTTGGTGGCTCGTGGTTTCCGAGTCGATGTGGTTGAGGGGTTGCAACATCTTGGTTGCTCCTTCTCCTATGTTATATGGCCTTGATATCAGGGATGTGCGAAGGGTGCGACCAAACCTTGCTAGTGGTGTTATTCGGTTCAGTTCATTGGCGGTTCTAGAGGGCAATTTCGGTGTTTTTAGCTGAGGGGTGAGTCGGCTTTTGGGTGAGTTCCGGTGCTTGGGTTTCAGCTTCGTTAGGTAACCATTGGCAGTTTTTGGGCAGTTTCAGCCTTCAGGGTCAGTTTTCTCGGGTCGTGGGATTCTCCTTGTATCGACTTGATGTATGTTGGTTTAGCTCAGTCATGCTTCCTTAGAAGGGCTCGTTTCGTTGCTTGTAGTTTTTGTTTCGTTTAGTTTCATGTAGTTTTATTTTTCGTTTCGTTTTGGTTTTGGCCTTTGGCCTATGTGTACGCCTGAGTGAGAACGGGTATTATTCCGGTGGGATCGTCAATTCTTCTCTATAGGAGTTTTAGTTTTCGTTGTGTTATTGTGTTTTGAGTATGTTTGTTCAAGCTAGGTAACCTTTAGACGATCTCGGAATCTGACCTCCCAGTCTTTCAACTATTGGTTATATCTTTTAGCTTTTGTGAGTTTTTTTTTTTTCACTATTTTGCGATTTATAAAACATTTGGGGTGATTGATTATCAATCCAACTCAAAAAACTCAATCAAAACTCAATTTTAACTCAACTTTAACCAAACTCTACTATCTCCAATATTATAAATATAATTATATAATATAAACCAATCATTCTTACACATCACGTCAACTTTAATTTCTATTCATCCACTCACATAATTTTAACTAACCATCACTTCCAATCATTTTTCTTCTACTTTACATCAAATCAACTTTAATAATTTTATTTAAATATTATTTTAATACATTCACTAACAACTAACCATACCACTTCTTTTTCAAACTTGATAATAGTTAAAAAACAAACCACATAAAAACTAAGTTGGATTCCTAAGAGCATGCTTGGATACAAAATTATCTCAAAAAAATCCAAACATTTTTAACTCAACCACTTATTTAACTCAACTTTAACTCAACCCCACTATCATCAATATTATCAATATAATTATATAATATCAAATCCATCATTCTTACACACCACATCACCTTAATTCACTATTCATACACTCACAAAATTTTAACTAACCATCACTTCAAATCTCCTCTCTTTTACTTTACATCAAATCAACTTTAATTATTTAATTTTAAATATTATTTTAATATATCCACTAACAACTAATCATACCAACTTTTTCAAAACTAAACCAAACAAAAAAATTCAAACAAAACCAAAAAATTTTATATCCAATCATCCTCTAAACAATCGTCCCGTTCAGAAATACAAAAATAAAATTATTTTCTATTTCGATCTGTCATTCAATAAAAGTTCGATTGGGGCCCAGGAGGGGTTGAATTTTAGCAGTCGGCCAAAATATCGCGAGACAGA